TGTGCTTGCCAATTGTACAGGTGAAGAGAAAGAGGGAGGGAAACAGTATCTAAAGTTAACTCAGAAAAAAAAAAAAAAAAAAAAGCTCTGAAGAAGAGAGAACCTCACCTTCCAGCTGTGGAAATGTATTCCCAATGCATAGTTTGTTTTTTGCCTATTTTAAACAGTCTTCTGGGAAGAGACCTGGGTGAGGTAAACAGCAGCCTTGAGTTTATGCTCTGCATCTCTTGGTGGAATTAAGTTGCTGAGTGAAGAAGGAAGGATTCCACTAAACCACTGAAATCCCACTGGAGTTTTCTTGCTACTTAGGAACTGAGAAACCTACAGACTGCTTAAAAAAAACCCCAAACATCAGACAAATGCTCAATGTGTAAGTTGAAGACATCTAGAATATTGGTTACACACTGTGGTGCTCAGGAGGATCTCCAGCAAGGTCATTGTCCCTCTTTCTAGTTCTCAGGCCAGGAATGGTATATCCTTCAATATCAAGAAATGCTAAAGGCACTAATGTAAGAGGCACAAAGATTTCACTGTAAGCAAGAAGAAGAATATACCTTGAAAAAAAATCATCTAATTGTGTAGGCAGCTAAGATTATGGGATATGGCTTGCTTTATGGAAACACAGAAAGAGTAGCCAATGGGAAAAGTACAGACTCTATTTATGGAAGCCTTTACATGTTGCAGTGGGCACTTTGTTTTACAGATTAGAAGGTAAGACCAACCCTCCAGATTGAGTCTCCCTTCCCACAAAGTCAACAGTACAGCAACTATGGTCTTTCCAGAGCTGTCTTGCACCTGGTCACTTGGAGCATGGGCAGGCCAGAGCCATTTTTCTAGATGTATGGTGAAATTTGGCGTAAAAAGGAGGTAAGCATCCTTCCCTTCATGAAGTGACTGAGTCGGGTGAGTTGTGATAAATGCACGCAGCAACATGACATGCTAGACTCTGAGACCCAGGGCTGCAAAAGTATTTGAGATAGCTATCTATCCAAGCTATTTGGCAGGATGCCTCCAGTTCCAGAAATATCATTTCCTATCAGATAAAGGCTCATGTGTCACTGCTGTTCCAGCTGATGAATGTGCAAACCACCAGGTGGATGATTTGGAATTAGCTGTGGGTAGGTGGTGGGAAGAACTGAATAAGAGGAGTGGGACAGATAAGAACTGCACAGCAATAAAAAATAATTTCTTCTTCCCTTTTATCTTCACTCCTCATCGTTGTCTCTGTGAAGATGGTTTTGGGTTTTTTCATTTTTCCTGCTGTAATTCTTATAATTTTTATTGATATGTACAATATAGCAATATACAGCTGAGAGTTGATGAAGGATAAAAGGAGGATCTAAAACAGAAGAAAAGTTACCAAAGTGCCTGAGGTGTTTTAATCTACAGCTGTACTTCTTGATTAGAAAGTTACATTAAAATTGTCTGGCATACTTAAGTGCCACATTACTGCTGGACGTGGAGACGTCATTTACTGGCTGCAAGTTTTTATACACTTATTCTTGGAAGAATGGCTGTAAAAGAAGGAACTGCCAGCGTTAGGCGTCAGGGCCAGAAGAACTGAGAAAACAGAATTAAGCAGAACGGTATTTTTACACATTCTTAGTTGCCTTGAAAATCCTGCCCTCAATGCAGGAAAGCACTGTCCATAGGCTTCTAATTGAAGAGGGACGGTAAAAGGTTTGACTTTAGATCCTCCTGGGGGAAGGTGGTTATCTAAACAAACCCTCACAATCTTTTCTGTAACTTCACAAAAGAAGGAATGTAATGTGAAGATACTAGATTTTGTGGTTTTACATACATATTTAATATGTTTGTTTCGCTAGTCATTTGTTTTTGCCTTCCTCCATTCCCTTCCCTTCCTTGGAAGGGTAAAAAGAAGTACCAAATATCAAAAAGAAGCAGCTGAATAAATGCAAGTCTTGAATGTGAAATTATAAGAGAATGTTCTAAAATGCTAAAAGGTGGTTCTTACATTTCTTATGGGAGAGTGCACAGAAGTGTTAATTTTTTTCAATTTGCAAAAGAAGCAAGAGTATCTGGAGGTTAATGAGGATATTCTTACTACTACAGAAGGATATGGCACATAGATATATGCAGACCACATTATCTAGGTGTCTAGAATAATTGCATTTTGAATGATGCAGAGACTAGAAACTTATCTTCCCTGATCTCTATGGTTTTTCAGTGACTGCCAAAGCACAGAGCAGTGAAGCAGAGAGAGTAAACCAAGCAACTAGAAATAAGTAGAGGAATGCGTTCTGGAACCTGCCAGCCTACGGCCTCTCTCCTTGCATGTAAATCATTTTTTTTTGCAAATAACCCCAGAATAGAATATATTACACAGTAGAATATGTCCTCCACTGTCAGTGGAAGTGTCAGCGGAAGCCAGTAGTGTCTGCAGACTCCTTCTTGGTTAGGACCGTGGAAAAAGGTGGAATGAAATGCTTCCAACTTCTGTTTATGAAAGCACTCAGAAAACAGAGGTAATGACAATGGACTTGGCAGAACCAGTCTTGCAGTGAAGGATCCGATGGGATTGTGTGCTTTTAGCAGGAATTAAAGTGTAAGAAAAGTATATGTTCATCAACTAAAATGGGAATGTTCCACTTCCACACTTACTCCCAGGACATTTACTCAAGTATGCAATTGCTAAATAAACCTCACTTTAACTGTTCAAGATCTAATAGTAGAAGGCATCTTCTTGTGCCTCATTTGTCTCAATAGTCTCACCAAAATCAATTGATTGTGCAGAGGGTTTGCAGGATCAGACCCCTAAAGGATAACTGTTTCCATTCTTTTATTTAGGCTTGAAATATTTCTAGTATTCTTGCAAACTATGACTGAAGGTGGATGTTAGAGTAGATGATTGATTCATAATTAGAGACCAGGATATTCAATTCAATCATCTTCTTGCACTGCTCAAAATATAACTCTCATCCTTAAATAAAATCCATACTTCCAAGTGCAGGGCACAGAGGTTTACAGAGTAATAGATTTTACAGAGTAATTTGCTGTTGAGGGTTAGAAAAAACTTCAACGTGTGTTTTGAAATCAGAAGGTTATCATGGGTTTAGAAGACATCCGATTGGGCAGATTTTGATAAAGATAAGGTTTTGATCCTGCCCCAAAATATTTCTCCTCTGTGCTTGTAATTTGAATTTTGTCAGTCCTTAGAGAAGTAATTCCCCTCCCCCACCTAAACCCAGCTCTGTCTCTGATATTTTAGGCAAGTGAAGAACAGAAGACAGTATTTTGAATAACTACAGTTAACTTTTGTGTTGTTTTTTTTTTTTCAATTAAAAACTCACTGGAAGCACAGAGCAACAGCAATGACAGACAGTGATGTTTCAAACAACATGACAGCGTTTTCTGTTCCTTTAAAATTACCATTGCATTAGTTTTTGCTTGTTTGCAGGATTTTCCTTCTGAGCAGAAAAGAAACATCTACTACTCATTTTTTATCAAATACTGTGTGGAAGAGACACACATTTTTTGAGATGATAAAAATGTTTTCAAGTCCTCCAGAAGAGAAAAAAAATAGAATTTTGGTTTTAGGTATGTTTTAACTTTAATCCTTTGTAACCATTTGTCATCCAAAGGGTAGTGAAAATCCATGGCTATTTAGTTTTGAATCTGTTTTGTTTGCTTAATAGCCATTATTGAGACAATCTGTAAAAGAGATGATCTAGTTTAACACTGTAAAACTAGTTTTTGAAAAAATGGGTAGTTTAAGAACTTAATGGTCAAAAGCTTGAAAATTACAAAATAGCTTTTTAGGGCAAAATATAGTTGGTAATTTAGGAAAAAAATTAAAACAACATTTTTCTACATGTGGCCACTATTTCATATTTAATCCAAGTGTGACAATTGTGTTCCCATAATTCAAGTGAAAAGTTTTCAGTCTTCAGCTCACGCCCAGGGAACAACTGCCGTGAGTAAGGACTGCAATATTTAACTTTATAGAAGGAACAAAAAAGTGTCCTTTGGCACACATGTTTTTCAATTTTGTAAAATAACTTTGGGAGAAAAAATAAGAATGAGAGAGAGCACTTTTTAGTAAATGGCAATCTGAAGAAAGTCACATATTCCTAGTGCTATTATATAGTGATTTTTACTCATGGCCGATCAACTATGTTCTGCTACAATGACACAAACAAGCAGGAATCTTGTCCTGCTTCAAGTAGAGTACTTTAGAAATCAATGACCATCCTGTGTTTAGCCAGTCATAAAAAAGACAGTTAAAAGCTTGAAAAACTGTAGAAGTTATGCCTACAGCTGCCTCAGAGATAGGCAAGTCTTTTATTTATATCAAAATAATAGCTTTCTTATAACTCTGCCTTTCACCTTAAGTCAAAACCAATATGTGTAGGTAATTAGCTAATTCCATGAATCCCAGACCTTTGCAGAAAGTAATGTCCATGCTTTGATCCCACCAGTGACATTTCTTACTGTCTTTTGGTGGTTTCTCTATAGCAAGGAGATCACCAATGAAATATTTCCCAAAATCTATGGGACATAGCTCAAGCAAGTTTAAACACAAAGGAGTGGTTTCATTGGCTTTGGCTTCTTTGCCAGTGCCAGTTTATGTTGCTCTGAGCCTCAGGAATATGGCGGCATTTTGAAGAAAGTATGGGAATGAAGAACAAAAATGACATATTTAACCTTTGCCTGAATTGTGTATAGCTTCTATGCCAAGGGAGAATAGTAGAGATTCTAATATACAATAATTATTCATAAACATCACTTATACTACAAATTCAGCTGAATTTTGTAAGAATCTTTTCCTTAAAATGAATAGCAGTAAGGAGATAATTCTTCCACGATTTTCTTTTTCAGGCAATTATATATTAAAATTCTTCATCAGGCTCTGTGATGGTGAAGATTAATGCGGCCTTTATAATTTGAGATGAAACTGACCGTGTCCTTCACTTTTTCTGCACTTTCACCATCCCTCCGCAGTGTGAAAACACAGCAGTCTTCACCACTACAGGCAACATTTAAAGATAGAGGTATCCAACCCAGTAGACCAGGTTAAACAGCAGGAAGGATGTAGGAAAAAAGACCCTAGAGTAAGAGTCCAGTTCTAAGATGTCTATGTGAATCCGTCCTCTCCTCCATGAACCTGATTTACACTCTTCGTAACAACAGAAAAAGCTCTGGCAGTCTTTCCCATCCAGACATTCATAGACACACGCATCTTCAAATTCTTGCCAATACATGGCATTGTTCAATGTGATGACTGTAGTTGGTGGTCTCATATCAAGTACAGAGTAATTCTGAGGAGAGAAAAAGAAACCAACAGTTTGATAAGCTTCCATGGATGATGCAGATCACAATTAATAATCATGGGAAAAAATTGCAGGAGCTGGGGATAAGGGGTCAATAGTATAGGAATTCTAGATTTGGGGAGCATCTTTCTTTCCCTCAAAAGATACCTTTTCAGATGAATTTCTATAGAGAGATTGTGAAGTGGCAAGTTAAAGAATTCTAGGTGTATTTTCTACTTGGTTAACTCAAAGCATGTATTTCCTTGTAACCATTTTTTTCACACTTAGGAGTTCACTTGCCTGTGCAAATATAATTTGCAAGTTACTTTAAACACTTGCAGCTACTACATTTAAGAATGTATTCCAAAAAATAAGGAAGTTGTCCCCCCTCCTCAATTAATTACAGAAAAATGTGCACTTAGTATAGCTGCACTCACTGCCTCTTATCTTTACCATGGTTTATAAAAACAGATATGATCAGCAACAGATAGCGATGATTTCAGTGCAGGATTTCAAAATGCCATCCCTAGGCACATCCCCTTAGTGCTTATCACACTAACCATGCTCAGAAATAGGGCACTTTGGTGTCATACATCCTCACAGTACCACTCGTGCCTGCAGACCTCTCCTTCTTCAATGTACTCCCTATTTACACTTTGTCAGCTTTTCTGTCACACCATTTCCTTTTCACGAAAGGTGATTTCTCACAATAGTCTCCTCTCTCATCAAGCCACCCGTTCTATCCTCACAAACGTCACCTCCTCTGCTGGCATCACTAGGAAGGGTCCCATCAGCTTCGCTGTCTGTCTGCACTGCCCTGACAAAGCAGATTCGAGCCCTGTCAGGGCAGTTTTCTCCATCCTGGGGGCCCTTCCTCTCCCTGTGATTGCGCTGAGCATCGCCTTTGCCTGCAGGAGCGTGCCAGGTATGCACTAACAAGGTAGGCACGCCTCTGCACTCTGCCTACTTGCCTTCTGGAGGGTGCTCTGGGCCCCTGCTTCCACGCTTGTGATACAAAATAGGCGACATTTCCCATTGAAGGGGTTGGGGCATACCCGAAAGCTCTCACTGTGTCTGTGAAACAGATCAGTGATATGAGTGATGTGCCTCAGTAGAAATTTTCCTTTTTCTATTGACTTCATTTTCTTTCTACAAATCCTTTGGTTTGACACATGATAATATTACCCATCTCATTAAAAATGCCGGTCCCCGAGATAAGAACTTGATGTGGCATCCCTCTGCTTAGATGTTGGCACCTCCGACATAGATAACTACATCTGAATAACTGCCCTATGGTATCTAGCCAATTACTTTTACGGCACAAATTTTCTCGTCACAAGTAGATGGCTAAAATCTCTCAGGTGCATTGCACTGTGGACTGTAAAGAGATTCCAATTCAGAAGTAGATTCTTGCAAATCTATTTGTTGCGAATTACTTTATCTCTGAGATTACATGACACAGATTATGCCCTTATGGTCTTCTCTCTCATTTATATAGTTTCAGGTGGCTGGTGTCAGAGCTTTACAATGTGCTGCCACATGGAAAAAGTCTAAGATTATTGCACAAGCAATCACTTTTTGACTGTAGCACTTTGGAGAGAAAAAAGCTGTAACTAAACTAACTCTTCTATACCACTGTTTCACATATTGTTCATTTCTTACAGGCCTTTATGAAAAATTCCTACTCAGTGACTGCAATTTTCTATGCCAGGCTGTAACATTTATGTTAAAAAGAAGAAAGGTTGATTTCCATCTCTCCAGACAATTTTGGTAAGTGAAGAGAAATAGGTGCCCCGGTTCTGCAAAGGAAACTCTCATCTATCAATAGCATGGATTTTATTTGCTTTTGTTTTGTTATATCAACTATCTGCTCAGGACAGAAGATAAAATAAATGCTGCGATAATACAGACAGATTAATCTGGTTGCTTTAATCTCTGTCAGCTAGGAGGGGTCCTGAAGTGACTAGATACCAGGTGAAGGTGGATGGTACCCACTGTGTCCTGAGTCCTGCTGAGCTGGGTTTGGGAGGCGAGTGGTGCCTGCACAGTGGGCGTCAGCCCAGTACCACCTGAGAGGTCTGGCAAGGCAAGGCGCTTCTCAGGTGCCTTGAGCAAGGCAGTTCAGATGCAGTGTTAAACGTGCTTAATGAAATTAGTTCAGACAAGGTATAAGTGTCTTCTCTAGGAAGAAAAACAAAGGGTGGGATTACCTGAACCCAGATTTACTAAGATTAATAAATTTCACCTTTTAGGTGGCATCACTACAAGGTTGGAAAAGACAAGATGATATCTTGAGAATCAGAGACAGTGCTTATTTTCTGCAGTTTTTGCTACAACTTGAACATGGAAGTTGTTTATGTATAGAACAAGGCCCTGCTCAATATCTGTCTTTTAGTGAAAAAAGAAAAGAGTAAAAGACTTGAAAAGTGGGCAGATACTTTCCAAGCAGATCAGACTGACTAGATCTAGACAAAGACTAAGTGTTAAACCTTATTGTCATTTTAATTGTGTATCTCTTTCCTTTTTTTTTTTTAATTGGAAAAAGGAATGTGCCGCTACCCATTCAATTTTAACTTCATCTTTCAGAAAAGTCTGTCCAGGGAGTGACAGCAAGAGCAAGCGTATAATTGCAATGTTTGCTGTAAACCATTCATTGTCAATGAGCAGACTTTCAATGCCGTATGAGCTCTTTAAATACATCAGAAAACTCGTGGGGGAAAAAAAAAGTGTGTAACAGTTTTTGTAAAAGATAAGCTAGTAACAGGGAGCTAGCAGTTCTAAATGATGAACTTCAACATATCGGAACCAAGAAATACAAAAGCAATATCTTAGTTCTGTCCCTGTTCTTATTTGGGTCTGATAGCTTGGGAAGCAGGCCATCCAACCATGCATGCTTTATATTTGTATATATATTATTGTATGTGTTCCAGTCTCAGATTTTGTATGACTTAGAGACACAATTTTATGCTGTTTCAACTTTATTACCGTTGTACATATATAAATAGCTATCTAGAGCTGCGTTAAACTTGTGTGCCTAAAGTACTTGAAAATCCACCTGAAAGCTTGCTAAAGGCTTTACAGATATGCATAAATTATTTTCTATGAAACTCAGTTAAATCTTCATATAAGTCTATGACATAAATTGTGCTTATTACTTTTTTTATAAAATGAAATGAGAAACTGCAGTATTTTATAAAGCAGACACACAAAATTTCTGAGTTAAAAATAACACACAATATTCTACACTTGACCGTTCTCCCTCCCAAATCATTTGATAAATCCTTATAGAAAGAGGCAGCTATGTTCCTCTGCCACCACCAAAACCAAACTGAACTTTTAACAAAAAACCAAAACAATATTTATAGTGAAGCCAGGGTAAAACATAATGTAGTGTTACAGCTTTCTTGAGAATTATTGCAAGTAAATGTCAGCCATACATTCATGCCTCCATTTCTATGACTGAATAAAATAGTTTACTTACCATCACATGACCAAAACTGACATCAGGTAGCTTAAATGAAGATAACAAAAGAATTATTCAGAAGAAAACTTACTTATTGCTTCATCTGCATCTAATGTTCAATAGCACTCCTTAAACCAAGCCTTTAAATGTATTTGTCCATAAAACACTTCATGCTGAGTATTCTATATATTCAGAATAATATTCTTACACTTTAAAACTGCATGAAACCTCAGCAGAATGCACGCCTAGTTTCCATCCACTTTAAATCTTTATTCAACCTATTATATTTATTTATTTAGCAAACAATAGCTAAGTGAGCATTTGCTCTTGTGTTAATTTAAATCTCATCAATGTTTCATGCTTTCCCTCATCTTCATTCTCATGTTTGGAAATACATCCTACTCACAAAGATACTCGTGACTTTTTCATTCAGTCTTTCTATAGGACGGAATTTTAGTTTGAACATTAGCAAGCTCATTTTGATTGTCTCATACTTTTCTTTTGGTAACACTCTTTTGCCTTTTGTGTGCAATGCATTTTTACAAGAAGCTATTAGAGGTCAAATGGAGTTTTCATTGACTTTCTAGGCTTTCTCTAATTCCATATTCATTTCAGCTTTTCCTTCATTAGTTCTTCATTCAATCATTTTCTATAGCTCTTCATTCAATCCCTTTTCACCTTGTGACCTATTATTCCCTGAATTTAGCCTTCTGTCTCTTCAATTTCCTCCTTCACATTTCTCATATTTGTCTTTGTATTTCTGATTTCAAATGTCCTTATTCCCTCCATTATGCAAAATGGCATCCAACATCTCCAACTACTGATCTCAAACCCATAAGCTTTTCTACTGTTCTTGAGTGGACAGCCCACTTCCCCTTCCCTATGTTTACACTGAGATTTTTTTCTCCATTATACTGCTCCCTCTCATTCTCGCAGTCAATTATGACATACACCAGGCAATTCTTCCTCCGTGATTGTTTTAATTGTTTCTAAATAAGCAGCTTTTGTGTGTGTCTGGGTGTTACTCGTGGAAGTGGTTTTTTGGCCAAAAATGCACCTTTGCAAGTGACCTGCTCTGTTTTTGTACTTAGGAACAAGCCCCTTTGTGCATAGGGCTAAAAACAAGTGCTGATTCCCAGTAGAGACATGGAAATCCCATTTGTAAAGTTCACAAATATTTCTAGACCTTTTAAGTGATGAAATAGCAGATGCATTTGAATATACATCGATGTGCACATATTTGTATAACAAGCTATGCAATCTGTTTCAGTGGGAGTCCTTTATGATTACCAGCACAGTAACTGGAGGACAAAAGACCCGTAGGCAGGGTTGCTGCCTCATGGTCAGCAAGCTGCTTCTGTTAGGAACAGACCTCACTCAACACGCACATAACTGCTTCTGCTGTTACTGCGGGTAACTATTTTCCATCAGCTTTCAGGGCAGATCACACCACAGACTGGGAAGAGCTCAGAGGGGTGGAGCATCATGGGATTAGGGGCTGTCTTTGAATGATTCTCTGCTCTCTGAGCCAGACACATGCTAGAAAACAAATTCAAAAGTTGCCATCTTACCGACTTTTTCTTCTTAGTACAGTTTGGTTTCCTGCAACTCGAGTAGTAGTTGAGGGTTGCATACTCCATCAGAGCAGCGAAGACAAATAGAAAGCATACAGTCACAAACAAATCCATAGCGGTGACATAGGAGACACGGGGTAATGACTTCCTTGCAATGGTACTCAAAGTTGTCATGGTCAATACTGTGGTGATGCCTGCAGAGAGAAACTTCATTTAATTGTATGCAACGTCATTTCTCCATGTTGCAGAAGAGTCTTTGGAAACAAACATACAAAACAGAAATCCAAATAATTCATTAATTTCATTTGGTAGTATAAAAAATAATGAAAAATAACATCAGTAGAGCCAGTGGTATTTTGTAAACAAATATTTCCCAGCTGTTTATATTCATCTTTGCAAAAGTAACATTCCTATGCCTCTCAATATGCTTTTCCTCATCTCTTGCTTTTTCTGGTCCCAGTTAGGTTGGAGATGGGGGTGAGGGAGAAGGAGAGAATGAAGAAATTTTCGAAGAAAAATATAAAGCAGAAAAGATGGTAAACCCAGAATAAAAAATAAGAAATATAGAAAACAATGAAGGAAACATGGTCTTTTTCACAGCAGTACCGCTTTAATGAAAAATTTTGTGCTCAAAAAAGAAAAAAGCCGGGGGGGGGGGAGAAAAAATAAATTTTGCTGCAAAGTTCTGGCCATGATTTTTGAAAATACATTTTCACACCACTGCTTACTTGGGAGTCCTCCACTGCTATTTTCCTTCTTAGTAAAGGAAAACAGACTCTCATACAAACTTCAGATGTAACCTTAATAGAAATAGCCTTTTTAATTCATACAAAGCATCACATCTTAGATTGATTTAGTAATAATGAATATAATGGGAATTACTTAGTGGGAAATATCCTGAAACAATAAAACCAGTCCTAGAATTAAATCTATGGGGTGTCAGTTATTTGGCTGCTGGTAATTCATATAATTTCTCTTCATTCCTGAGGAACAGAAGTCTGTGTTCCCACTTTGGACTGATGCTTTTAATCATTTGTTATGAACTGCAAGCCTTCTGAAAGAAAAAATAAAACTCCTCAATGGCTTGGGAAGAAGAATAAAGCTCTCACTCAAACAAGCCTCAAGAGAGAACCTGCTCTAAAAACAACATAACCATAAGGTAATCTTTCTTTTTATAGTTAAAGTGATATTTTTCAATGGTACACAGTGTTTTAAATGGCAGGGGATGACTGAAATTATGCCTTATAGTAAAATTACTTCCCACAAATGGCAGTCTGGAGAAAAAGAAATATCTGTGGATTACTTTGGGCTACTTTCTGTTTACGAAAGAATGCCCACCTCTGATTTGTAGCATTTGATAGAAACTGCCTTGGCCTTAACATTCTTCTACAATGAATAATAACTAATTGTATTCCTTAAAGAACTACTACCCAGAAACAAAACAAAAAAAAAAGAAGAAAAAAATAGTTGCTGAACAAACACAACCCGATAATCAAGACGAAATCAATGCTGATACGGAACAGGAAATGTGGACTTCCTACATACCTTGGACATCTGAAAGCTATTGGGAAAATATCTCTGTTTCCTGCCAACTGTGCCACCTCCCAATATAACCACATGTGGCTGCCGTGATCCGGTAACGTCCCCAGAGCCTTCAACAACAGTTCTGTAGCTATCTGGTGCTTTGAAAAAGCTCCAGAGACAAAGTCCATGCTTAGCCATGCATCCCAGTAGTCAACTGCAAAGGTGTTGGCTCACTAGCCTTGATTTGGGCCTTGCTACCTATAGGTTAATTAGTCTTTCTGTATGACCATGAGTCAGGCCTTGGGAGTCATTAACTTCAGAAGAACTGCATCCAGACTATGCCATACTTGACATACGAAATGAAGTTCTTTAACACTTTCTAACCCACATTTAGATTTGTAACATAAATCTGTCCTTTTCAGAGCCATGTGTGCATGCACCAGCTTTCAGGTATTTTACTACCTTTAAAAAATTCCTCAAAACCTATAGGCTTTGTCCAGCACAATATACAGTATCCTTTTTACCTAGACTCAAGGGAAAGATTTTCTTTCCCACTCATCCTGTGAAAGGATTTCAAATTACTTTAGGACACTTTTTTTTTTTTTATTAAAAGGCAAAAAGAAATGAAAAAAAAAGCTTGCAATGCTCAAAAACTTTTTTTTTTTTTTGCAAAGGTCTGCAATTTTTCTACTGAATGCTGTATTGACAACGTAATATTTTTCCTCTATTTTTACGGAAATGGAGGCATAGCTTAGTATTATTTGTGACAAGAAGTATTGTGCGGGTATCTGTAATGATGACCAGCTGCCAAAGAGCCTATGGACAGGAAGGCAGAGACATGAAAGAAAAATTACCATTAGCCTCTGGTGCTTAAGTATAGAAGTCCTCAACTCAGCCTAAGTCCTATCTCCGTGCCTTAAGCCTGAATGGGAAATGCCTACCCAAATCATGCTTGAGACTGTGAAAGCCTAGAAGCTCTAGGTGAGAACTGAGCAAAACCAGTCCAATAAATCATGTTGCAGATGTCTCAATGATACAGGTTCTGGGAGTTTTGGGTGGCTCCGGACTTAATTTTAGCTGATTGAAACAAAGTAGGTTCCACTAAATCTATAGACACAGCAATTAATGGTGTAAGATTTATTTTTGTTTTAAGATATTGATAGTGTCCATCCTCAGTCTCTTTGACAACAAATCACATTTTGCTACCAGAATATAAAAACTTAGGGAAAGGAAAGTTTAGCGTTATCACAAACCATCATATTTTCTGGATTATATGTCACATTTCAAATTATTGCAAAGGTATGAAACAAGATTGCTGAGCACAGAGACAGAAACATCCAAAGGTAAAACAAACAAATTTTTACTTTTATTATTTATACAAAATAATTTTATTATATGAAATCCAATAGAAAAGCAGCATTCTTCATTTAAACTGAGTGTTGGGCTTGGATTCCAGCTCACACCACAAACAAGCAATGAGTTTTTGAAATAATAAAAATTCTACCCACTATATCAATTTTACATCTGACACATTGGCACAAGTTTTAAAATATTAAAATGAGTCATATGGAGATACATACAGAGAGCAAACAGAAAGAAGGTGCACCAGATGATACAGTTAGATATTCCTATATATTTACAAGTTAGAATATAGAGATATGCATATATGAATAAAAGGCAGCACCCATTATTTCCAAAGAGAATATCTAGTTTCCCTACCCATAGCTCATTTTATCTCTCAGGCTAAGAAAATTCAGTTTGTTGAGTGGTTTCAAATGCAATAAACCTTGCCAGATGAAATTGTTAAGTCTCTCACTTTGGGGACGCCCGTATGGCAAAGTGAGCTTTGCATCTGTTATTGAAATTCACAGTGCTCTCGAACCATCTCTTTCAACAGAATTTTAATATCAGCCAAGGACAGCTTTGAAGTAACCTAGCTTCATGATTTTCAGGTCGACAGGTGTAAGTGGGAGCTTACAAGTTTGTGTATAAATACAGTTTTGTGACATTTATATTCTGAGTAAATTCCATACCAAAGATGCTATTTGATAAATCAAAAAGGACTGTCTGGGAGATCAAATGATGCGGGGATACATAATGCATGAGAACACTTTAACCTTTAGATCATTGGCCTAAAGAGTTATATAAAATTATTACTGTTTGAAAGCTGCTTACTGGACAACAGTATGCAAAGTGAGGAAGCAGGAGCTTCAGTGTAAGAAACTCTTCGGTCAGTGAAGCTCATTTTTTATTTTTCTAAGGGTACGTTGATGACACACTGGGGGAAAGGTGCACTGTTTTTACCAATGCCATCACTTGTTTATAAACTTTTTTTCTCTACCTTTCCAGTGTGGCACCTGTTTTGATCACTTGCTTGTTTTTCAAGTGGATGAGCTTAAGATGGAACGACAAGGAGAGCAATGTTCATTTTTAATTAGACATCATCTGTATCTTTTACATCAACACATTGCTGGCCTTGATACCTACTGCATTTTTTTAAACTGCAGTTTGAAGTTGCTGTGTAGTAACTGCCTAGTCACATTACATGTTATACCCGTTTTTAAAGAGCAGGGGGAAACTGGGATAAAAGATTCAGTTCAACTTAATTCCCTTCATCTTTAAGTAATACAACCTATTCTTTTACAGATCATAACTTTTCTTCAGACACTTGCTGGCTGCTCTTGACTGTGACCATTGGGAGAAGATCATTTTGATTACTAGAGACAAGCAAAAAAAGCAGAGAGCCACTTCTTTTTTCTCTTTGAATGGAGGGCAGAATAACCTGGAATCACAAACCACAGAGTTCTCATTCAACACTCTAATTCTATTCCTGGTTTCCCACTGTCTCTACAGGTGGCCTGTGGTGAGTCATGTTGCCCCTCTGGGCCCCAACCCCTCATAGAGCATGTGAAAAAGGGACAATGAGGCCAAGTTTTTAAAGAGCACTTTGATGCCTCTGAACAGTTCTGCTGAAAGGATACTTATGGTCTCTTTTTTTCCCTCACAGCTAAATACCCCAGTTGCATTTATTTTTTCCAGCACAGAAACAGATTATTACTGAAAGGGGTAATACCCATCCTTCATGCAACTGTGAGTAGTTGCCAATAGCTTAGAAAGTTACTCATTAATTTCAGAAAGTGAAACATTTCCTGATGCTAGCCCTTTACATTAATGCAGCTATACTCGGAGAAGGTTTCCTGCACTGAGTCTACAATTAATTTCAACTAATTAGTAGGACAGTTTCAGCAGTTTGCCTTCAGCTGTATTACTCACAATTTTGCCATGTGCCACTATCCAAATGTGGATGTGTGCTGTTGCTCAGACAGATTTATAGGTTGCGTTGTACAAGCAGACATAGAGTACACTGGGAACATCTGCTTACTGCATCCCAAGAGTCAACAGGCTCCTTTTGGGAGCAACAGGACTCTGTGCACAAAGAGAGGTGACTCATGTATATGTTATTTTCTTGTTATTTGACTTTATTTATATATAAAAAAAAATATTTTAGCCTAGTAGTTTAATTCTTCATCAGAGTTTTAGAAGTTAGTCATGATAGCCATTGAATATAGCCTTGGAACATCTTATTTTTATGTTCTTACTTCAAATTCATGACCTCATTATATGAATACATTTTTTTGTCTGAAGTCCCCGCTGGCTGAGGGGGTGAGGGAGGGAGAGTCACACTGTTATGACTAGTGATCTAACCTACTTCTGCCTCTAATTAATTGGAAGCTGTGTGGTGTGGGAAACTTCCCTCTGGGACAACGTATGAACACTGCTTCCAGAAAATTAGTAATGCAAGCTGTGAGATGCCTTTTCTCCCTTTTCTCTTAAGCATTATGAAGGTTCTAATCATAGCATCATAGAATCCTCTAGGTTGGAAGGGACCTTGAAGATCATCAAGTCCAACCATCAACCTAACGCTGCCAAAACCACCACTAAACCATGTCTCTAAGCTTCATGTCTACCCATCTTTTAAATACCACCAGGGATGGCGATTCCACCACTTTCCTGGGCAGCCTGCTCCAATGCTTGACAACCCTTTCTGTGAAGAAATTTTTCCTAATATCCAATCTAAACTTCCCTTAGAGGCTGAAAGAGTTGGGGCTGCTCAGCCTGGAGAAGAGAAGGCTCTGGGGACACCTTATTGTGGCCTTCCAGTACCTAAAGGGGGCCTACAGGAGAGCTGGGGAAGGACTTTTTACTAGGGCATGTAGTGACAGGACAAGGGGGAATGGCTTTAAACTGGAAGAGGGCAGGTTTAGATTAAACATTAGGAAGAAATTTTTTACTTTGAGGGTGGTAAGGCACTGGAACCGGTTGCCCAGAGAGGCTGTTGAGGCCCCGTCCCTGGAGGTATTCAAGGCCAGGCTGGATGTGGCCTTGGGCAACCTGGTCTAGTCAGAGGTGTCCCTGTCTATGGCAGGGGGATTGGAACTCGATGATCTTCAAGGTCCTTTCCAACCTAAACCATTCTATGATTCTATGATTCTATGATAACTTGAGGCCACTTGCTCTTGTCCTATCGCTTGTAACCCAAATGGATGGTGTGTGAGTCTCTGCACACACATGGTGCTTCAGACTCTTAGTTAAAAAAGGAGGAGCATGGTCAATCTTTTCTTATCTCTGCTGAGTCACCCGAATTAAGAAAGGAGTTCAGCAGAGAAATACGCTAAAGTTCTATTGCTCAATTTTCTGGCAATCAGAGGGAATCCTACACAGCCAAATACAGGCAGTCATATACCTGCTCTGTCCTCACCTTTGCGCTGCCCTGGAGTTGGAGGGGGTCACAGAATAACTGTAAGTCTTAGGGTCCACCATGTTGCTGGAGCCACAGTGTAAAGGCACTTTGGCACTCATGAAAGGAATGAGGGCTGAATATTCCTTTCTTGGAATACAACCTCAGAAAACTGGACACACATGATGCCACATGACTTATAATGGCCAGAAGTGCTACGTTTACTAACTTGACAAACTCCTGGAGCAGATCCAGCAGGTTATGGTCTTGTGCTGACCTCACGCAAAATGGGTTTTAATACAGAATTATCTGTAAAGTGTGAACCAGTGACGGCTGCTTGCACTTGTCTTATTGCAGGTTCTCTGATACGTTTCTTTCTATTGATCCTGTTGCATGGCTCCAAGTCACTGAGCTGCTCCTGGTTTGGAAGGGTGCCTCTTGTCACTCACTAAGAATTAAAGCTGACACAACCTCCCCCTAGGAAGATGCCTAAGGATTGATAGCAGGACAGGCTGGCATATAACTTCATCGCTTAAATAAAGCTGTGACTAGTGAGGGAGTAACACTTAGAGGATATTTTTGGTAATGTATTTCTTCTATCATTCAGCTGAAAGTTACTATAAAGCTATTGAAGCATTAAAAGTTTTGGGAAGAAAAATGTTTGTTACCTGGGCCTTGTGCACCCTGAATAGATGACCGTATGTTTTTTGTATGAGTGAAGGATTTAGAAAGTGGGGTCAGGCTTCTGGACACATTCAAGAGGCTTAGCAGCTAAAATCTCATTCAGAGCAAATGGGCTTCAAAGTCTCTTTAGCACTTCATTCTTATTTTCCCCTTCAGGGTCTTCAGGGGGTTTATGCTAGAAACCACAGCACCCTCAAAATTGGTGGTTGCTTAGATTTATTAGTGCAGGAGAGAGACAGACAGAAACAGGACAAGTAATTTTGAACAACTGTATAAAGGCTGCATTGCTAAACAAGATGTCCTCTTCCTGAGATCAAGTAGAGCACCTCTACACGGTGTTTGAAAGAGAGCTAACAGAAATGGATGCACATATAAATAAGCATCCTTTCTGGTAAATGCTTAGTTATTTAGATTTAAAAAGTTGAGGAGTACAATGACCCTTGATCAACTGTTTAGGGGAGTGGGAGGCAGATGTGGTTTGTACAAATGTCCTCTCCTATACTGTGGTTGAACGAAGGTTTGCCAACACACAGCAGCACTCGAGAACACCGCTCCTGCTGCAGGCTGACTTCACGTGTCCTCCAAGGAGGCACAGCCTGTTCACAGCCCTGGTTTGCCACTCTTTCCTTGAAGCAGTATCACCCTTTCAAACCTCGGGACTCAGTTGCTCCTATGAATGCTTTCCATTTCATTTCAGTGCAAAAAGTTGGGCAGGTCAGTTTTTAATAATTTGTTCTTTCAAGTTAAAATGATTTAAAGGGTCCAGCCGGTTGACTGGAGATGGTGACAAACTCCAGCAGGAAGAAGCAATGAATAACTGGGAATGGTAACCTCTATGCTTGAAAACAGACATGTAAACCTTTACACAGCCTCCCTTTATGCTAAACTGGTAGATTTCTGAATCAGTTAGTATTTGCAGCCCTGGCAACAGTCTGGACTAAAATGTTTTTCCTTCAGTTCTGACATACACCTATAATTGGCTATTATATAGCCCTATGCCCTCGATGCTGGCAAAACCTGCAGGTTTTCCCATAGACATAAGAATAAATGGTCAACATTTCTAAGTGTATCCTAAAGCACAATGCCAAAATGCAAATGCTGGTCCTGACATGAATTAGCTGCTGGAAAACCTATGCCAGAATAAATCTCCACTACCTGTGAAAAATATCTATAAACCTAGTGTGGCTCTTAACTTCAAGCATGCAAACTATAGCACTTCAAATGAGTTAATATTATTATATCCCACAGTTCTCAGTATATATAAGACATAATGCCCCGTGGGGGAGAGTTTCTGAAGGGAAGGAAGCCAGCAGTGCAATTAATTTATTCCTCAAAAATGTCACTAAAATATAATAGTGAGAACAAGGAGACAGACAGTAATTCTAGAATATTGTGCAAAATAGGTGGCAGTGTCATTCCAAAGGGTCAGGGTAGTTTACTTTTAATTACCCTGTTAAAGACAGAAAACCAGAGGCTTCAGTGATAAGTAGACCTGGGTCTGCAAGACATATTAGCAATAACCCAAAGCACATAGCTAGTGGTGTCTTTGAAATGAAGATGACATTTTCAAATGGTAGTGTAGGAACTACACAAAGAGAGGAGAAAAGGGAATTATTAACAACTTACCTAATGCTGTTCTTGCTGGTGTGGCATCTTTTTTAATCCAAAAGGATACCCAGGAAAGAACAACTGTTAATATACAGGGAATGTATGTTTGAATAGTAAAGTATCCCATTCTTCTACTTAAGTCAAAGTATATAGTCATGACGACATAATCACCTGCAATAATAGCACAGAAAATAAATTGACATTGTGGTGACATACAGACGATTGTTCATTGAGCTGCTAATTTTTTGAGCTTCATACAAACACTGTATATGAAATATTTCTTAGTGTTTCAAGAGCATCTGTGCAGCAAAGCTCATGCGAAATAGAACTGAAACAAGTCTTTCCATTCTAATTTCCTTTAGTTGTTGGTCTCTGTGGAAATGTTGACCTATTTGCACAGGAAAAGGCTCTCAGTAATGATTCTGGATGAATACATTTTTGAAAGGCATCTTGGCTTTCCAGACTTGATATTTCTGAATGGTTCCATGGCCACAAACATGAAGCTACTATCATTCACCAGCTTCTGTAACCAAGACACACAAAATCCCTCTTTCTGCAGGTTGTACCTTCCCTGCCCTAATCTCAGATTTGAGTGACTTCTGTTATCTTCTCTTGAGACGTGAATCAGGGTCTTTATGGCAAGTGTAGCATGCACAGGAGTATGTCTTTACATAAGAAGTCATTTATAGACACTAGAGCCTCAATGCTGGTGAGAGAGGTCAGACTGCGTGCTTTTAAAGGGCTCAACATTAAAAATCAAGAGTCTGTTTTTGTCAGCATTCCTCCATTTCAAAGCAGTTGTGGTCATTTGTAATATCTGTAAACCTTCAGAAGGTGAGCCTGGATATAAAGTTTATTATTCTGCTGGATACTAAAAATCATAAAATCAAGTGCTCAGTAAGAAGGCTAGTTTACCTCACATTATATGATTTTCTTCACAGTATCTTTTCTGCTAACCCTTGTGACTCCACAGGGGATAATTCTCTCTCTCTCTCTACTCAGTAGAGGCTACCGACCTTATCACCTGTCTTCTTACTAACAGCTCCCTCAGCTTTATAGATGTTAACTATCCTTTTCTCTCAGACCATCACAGTGATTAACAATAATGACACTGAACAGAGACCAATTTCTGTACTTCGCTTGAAGTATGTTGCTTCCATTTCAGATGTGAAGAAGAGTTTACATGCCGGAGAACTTTTATGGGGTTTTGTCTGACTACAACAGACTTGACCTAATAAATTAATAAATTGCTTCTTGTTACAAACCTTGACTTTATAGAATACACTATTTGCTGAAGGCATCATTTGCAATAGGTAGGCAAGTATATCCTGTTACAGCAAACCATCAGAAGACTGGGGAAATTAGTAGCACAGGGGGACTAATTCCCCCAAGGAATGTACATACAGCTCACACAAGTAGAGGCACAATGAGTTCATTAGGAGTTCAGACAAATTAAAGCTTAATCTTCTAGTAACAGAGAGCATATGAACAAAAGCATCTAATACAGTGGATATTTTGACTATAGCTAAATATTACATAGAAGATAAGTTAATTCAGTAAGAATAACTTCCGCCTAAAGAATCTCTGAAGGCCACTGTAAAATGAGTGAACTACCATAAGCTACAAAGTCAAAGGTAAATAAGAGTCTGAAGGTGAGAATTGGGGAGAGAAATTTAGAACAATGAGTCAAAAGGAAAACTTTCTATGTGTTAAGTACATCGGTTTGAGATAGATATATTTGGAAGAGGTTGATAAGCCTCTGTGTGCTTCCCTCATGCCTCTGTTAGATGAATGTGTACGTTTTCACGAGTACTGTGCCAGTAAAAAGCAAGTGACCCCAAGAAACTGGACAGTCATTTCAGAAGCTGAGTGTATTTGGCATTATGGGACAGAGCTTTAATGAAAGAGCTCACTGCAGCTACGGACCCCAAGAAACTGGACAGTCATTTCAAAAGCTGAGTGTATTTGGCATTAGTAGGAAGTATTGCAGTACATCATGACATAGTAAGCCTTGTTGTTCACAGGCTAAGGGTTATTTTCATTCCACTACTCACCAGCACTTTTCTCTGCAGGGAATGGCACCGGGAAACTGATGTGGGTTAGTGACCATTGGTCCTACTGGCTTATTGTTAGGCTACATCAGCTCCCTAATCTAGTTTGCAGCATTGAAGAAAGATTTACAACATGGCAATGGAGATGATTTCATAGAAATAGGTGTAAGGAGTCAGAGGCTGTGTAAACCAGTGCTTCTACTGACAGCAACCAACCCAAGAACCATGGAAAAAAAGTTATGATAATGTTTCAAACATTGTCAATGCAGAAGGATGAGAAAAAAAGGAAATGAAAGGCTCTATAGGAAATGTGCCAAGTCTTTACATTTCCTTTACTCAGTTATTGTATCTAGAACTGCACATCTATGGATAAGTTGCTATTGAATGGTATAGAGCAAAGCGATCTGCAGACTTCTTGTGTAAAATGATATATAATGCACACAATTCAAGTACACACAAAGGTCACTGCTCCTCTGGATAGTAAGATTGTGATACCCAGCACAGCAAATGAGAGTGGGGCTAGATACCGGACAGTGAGATACTGGGAAAGTAGGGCTGAGTCCCTGCTTTCAAGGTCTTCGACTGAAATAAACCTGATAAATTGAGAGTGGGAGAAAATTATGGCACATTTCAATTGTTTGGCAGACAGGAAGTGAGGCAGAGATTAAATGACGTAGAGAGTCCATCATCACATTTAGTCATGAACTGATTCAGTATCTTTCAGGCAGGATTCATTTGCCTTGATTTTAGACACCTAGAAGGTAAATTCTAAAGATGGCCTGCATACTGTGGCCTCTTTTCTGTACTATATGAAGAGAAATTGGCACTATTAGTATATGGTTTGTCTCATATGTTTTAGAGACACAATTTAGAAGGACATGAATGTGCCCAAAACATTTCCATTTCTCTCCTGTGATTAAAAAGGGAGAGTGATTGCCTCAGATGTGGACAAATACATTGTAGACACTTGCAGATGATCCAAGGAGTCAATCACACCCCTTGGTGATTGCTAAATCCCATGGTGAAAGCTAAACTGGGCTACTTCTATGAGGGTGCTAAGGTTATTTTATCCAAATGTAATAAACTTCTTAACCTTTCAAAGGGTATATTAGTTATTTTCCTCCTTTGTTTCATAGTTAAACTTGATGCCTTCATCCTTAAGGACTTGCACAACTTCTCTGCTTGCTCCTCTACCTTTCTCCCTCCCTCCCTCCCTTCCTCCCTTCCTTCTTTCCTCTTTCCCGCTCTCCCTCCCTCCCTTCCCCCTCCTGCTCTTTATTATAACAGAACTTTTCATCTTCTCTGCAGAAGATCCTTTCAGCAAGTTAAATAAAGGAACTGTGACTCGGTCAAATTTTACAAGGAGCTGCAAATTACCAAGTATCCAACAAAGACCCACAGATGTCTGACAAGCACCCAGTGAAGACAAAGTCCTAGGATAGTGAGTGGCTGTGCTCATTTAGCCACTGACCTATTTTTTTGTCTGAGATCCATACAAAAATTCTCACTGTGAAGAAGGCAGACCCAGTCATACAAGTGGCAGCTGTGCATACAGACTTATATACTGCACCCTCTGTGCTGTACTCTAACTTACGCGAACACACTGACATAATGTTCCAAGAGACTGGGAGAACAATTTGGATCAATGGAATTACTAATGCAAAGTGGAAGTAAGAGGAGAGTTTGCTGGTTCTCCTTCAGTACTCTAACCTTGCTTAGAGAGGATGCAGCTCAGAGATGACGAATGCTGATGACAATGCTTAGGAGGAGGAGGAAATCACCATTGCTGAAATGCAGAGCCCCAACTGGAAGCACCAATGTTGTGACTGTTGTCAAAGGCAATCATGTTTCTGTACAACATGTACTGAATGCATTTTTAATAGCTACAGTAAATTACAATTTTCAACTCAATTACCACTTCAGTTCTTCTATCCTCAGCCAAGTCAACTTCTGTTGAGATTTCTGAATTGTCTCTTTGCATACAGAAGAGCCAGCATGTATGTGCTATGGCTACTTTCCTCATTGCACTACTACAAACTGCAGTAGTAGTAGTAGTAGTAGTAGTAGTAGTAGTAGTAGTAGTAGTAGTAATAGTGGTAGTGGTATTTTATCTAAATTACTCCTTACAGAAGTAATTATTCTCTATGTATTTAAAAGCACTTGTCTGCAGCTTAACAGAAAGTAGCGATGGTACATATGTTTCTGACTTTCTCTATACACACAAAATAATTTGTACAAAGAAACTCTCCTCTCTTCTAAAAGACCTGACCTACAATTCGTTCTGTATGTTCTGCAGACATGAGCAACCCAAAGGAAAGAAAAGCTTTCAAGAACTCTGCTTGGTGCCTCCTTGCTCCTTCGCCGGCCTTCAGAGCTCCGCCTGCCGTTACTGCCACTGCTAGAAGAGGAACTGGGGCTGATTGTGCAACCAAGCCCTGCAGTGTAGGCAAGATGGGAAAAAACTCCTTCCAATCTGCATATTATTAAATCAGCATACTTGGTTTAAAAGCAATCACACGGTGATTGCCTAGCTAGGGACCGCTGGAATAGCTAATACCGAAAAACTTCATTTTGAAACCCAGAGAGGAATTCTACTTTTTAACAGATTAAAGACTTTCCCAGGAAGGCAAACTAACTTTTAACTGAACAATCAGACCATCAATTCACTGAAATAATGAAAATTGCCTTGAGGAAAAATAGTGCCCCACCAGTTTTCTATAAGGAGAGAAAAAGATGCTTCTTGAGGCAGCAAATTGCGAGTAATAGGAATAATGTACCAATGCTTCCCATGAAACCAAACCATGACTGCTGTCTGTGACCCATAGGACTTATACTAGCTAAGTTTCTAGTTTGAAAGTAGGACACTATTTAGAACTATGATGATTTTTAAAGGAATAACTGCTGTGGATTTTAATGAACAATGTGAAACTATAGCCTATTTCCTTTGTCTTTTGAAGACTAAGGGCATGGTTGACTGAATTGTCAGAATTTTGCCTACATTGCACCAAGAACAGCTCCCTTAAAGGTGAAATGTTTGAGCAGAATGCAATTATTTTTTTGTTAAGAAAATATTTCAAAAATATAAAATGTTATACTGTAATTCATTTATTTACTCAAGCA